GGTCGGCTTTCTTGATACCACTGTCAAAACCAAAGCAAGGCGCATGGCCCGCAGCTGGGATCGAACCCGGCGTTCGCATCGACTTAACCACAGAGCCGACATTTGGGGATAGGGGAGAAGAATAAACAAACTGACCCCGAAAGCGCATGTTGTAAAAGTAAACTATTTAGGGTATTGCTGAAATCTGATTTTCTGGGCCGAAAGGCGAAAATATCGCAGCCTGCCTGTTAACCTCAACGAAGGGAGCTAACGACCATTTAATGGCAAATTCACAAGCAGAAGAAAGAGGAATGTCATTTACTGAAACCTCGAGATAAAAGTGGCATTAAAGCGGTGTTCGGCTATTATAAAAGGGACCAAGATAGGAGACAAGCTGGGAGACACAACGATCTACTTGAAAATTAAGTCATGGCGGTGACTCATCTTCGACACATCTCACAATCACATGACATCTTGGGACACAACAGGTCAACCTATACTAAGAGAGAGGGAAACAAACACGTAAGCGCAGTTAAGTCAAACATACCACGGAAAGATTTAAAAAAAAAACACTAGGGCGAAACCAATACCAACAAGATAGTGGAAAAACTGGTGGACAAACGAACAAGCCATCTATAGAATAGATTCTCAAATATATATATATTCAAAAAGTAACAACCAGTGTGAAAAATGTCCCGATGCTAGGGTGACCATTAACTATATCTTGAGCTGAAAATGCGACATTCTGCGAATATTTTGACATTCTAAGCAAGTCAGTTTAATATCGCTCCAATCTCCCTAAAATTCTAGAAATTATTATTATTATTATTAACAGTATCTGAAACCATTATTTCTTACAAGTTCTCAGATATAACTTTTAGTGATATGTTCTATTCTCGAGCTTACTCCTAGATTTTTATTAAACAGGAAGTACAGACAACGCGCTCGCCTGCAGATCGGAAAGTCGTGTGTTCGGGTCTTGACGGCGCCGCCGGTCGTTTTTCCGGCGTGTGATGCTGATCACATCACCCACCGAGTGCCGACAGGTCTATTTAAAATATAATTCTAGCCCTATATGCCCAATGTGCCGGAAGACATGGAAAAGGGTCCTCTACTTCACGTTTTTACTTACCGACGGTGCACACCTAAAAAAACGGGACGTATAGTGGCGTTACCCTACATAATGCGAACACAACTATCACCTATTGATCAACTTTATGTCAGATTTTGTTTTAAGGTTTGGGGGGGGGGGGGGGGGGGGGGGGTTACGTAAAGATCTAACAAACAGGTTTGGGAATCTAGTAAAGCCCCACAGGATGTCAGGGAAATAATGGAAACGAGTGTGAAAACGAAACAAAAGACGATAATACGTGTTGGTTCACGGGCGACATGGGATACGCCACAACCCAGTTGAGCTATCATCAAACGGAGTCATCACCGCGTGGTACCAAACGTGACAGCGTTAGTTAACGTAATGACTTAAAAAAAAAACAGGTGAAACGACTGCACTTATACAAATCCTGGCTGTCAGCAGTAATCGCCGCGGTAACTTCTACAGGTACAAGACCACTATAGCTATTACGCCCCCCCCCCCCCTCCTTTTCCCCACCCACCCAAATATATATATATATATATATATATATATATATATATATATATATATATATATATATATATATATATATATGAATAAACGAAAGATAGAATTTAAAGGTATGACAGAATCGCTTTGGAAGAGAACTAAACAGTTCCAGTGCACCAAAAGGTGAATAAAAAACGCTGGCAGTGGATAGACACACGCTGCGAAAACTTGAGAACAATACAACTAGAATGTCTTTGCATAAGAGCCCACAGGGGCTTAGAAACAGAGGAAGTTTTGTGTGCACATCAGTTTTAGAGATCTATCCCATTTGTATGCAGATTGTCGGTCCCTTGCTTCTCAGGCAGATGCATTCCGACTTCCAAGGAAGCTCCCAGTAAGTCGACTTTTACGAAACGCTTTTGGGTAGGCAGACTTGGGTCTATACTTGGGATTAAGACACGTTTATAGGGGCAATGACTTTACCCCTCTATAATGGGACCCTGTACCCCCTCCAGCCCCCAGCCCCCCCCCCCCCCCCGCCCGGAAGATCTCGAATAATCTTTTAGACACACTCTACACATGGGAGTACGAGACAGGTGCCAGACATTTCAAATCTAACAACATTTAATTACTGATGCAGAGAAGGTAGATTAAAGATAGCATTTACGTGCATTTCGGGATCTGGTATGTTTGGTTCAGTACATTTTTTGTATACTGTATATTTAAGGCACAAGAAGCCAGGTATAACATGGAAAGAAAAAGAGGGGGTGTGGGCGCTCAAAGAGAGCAAAGAAATATAAAAAAAAAGTGCAGAAAAGTAAGACAATAAAAAGTCAAAAAAAAAAAAAAAAAAAAAAAGAGAAAGAAAGAAAGAAAGAAAAGAAAGAAAGAAAAAAAATGAAAGAGACTGCCAATTACAAGAATTTAACCAATATCATTCAGGTAGAAGCAGCGCTATTTACGTTTCCAACTGCTACACACCCATGTTCTATTACACAAATGTCCTATACTCAAAGTTTGAGCGATATAAAAACACGGAACAGTGAACCACTTGTTGCCTTGTACACAGATCTAAGAGTATCCCGAGGCAACGCTAAGGCAAACAAGCCAACATCCATTCTATATAATACAGACTGGGACCAGATGCGCTCTGGATGAAAGCAGCAGGTTGCCGCAACCCAGCTGTAAACCACACAGCTCAAAGGTAAGGGTGCATATGCCTGCAGCTCTGACGTCATCGTAACATCCCACTCACTGTATGAGAAATGCCAAGCTAAAAATATATATATGGTTAAAAAGCAAATACAGCCGTGGCGATGTGTCGTAATATTCTTTAGTATGTGATAGATTTTTAGCATCAAGAAACGGTGCGACCAGTCCTAGATATAATAAAGGATACGTTCAAGGCCCAGGTAAATTAGGGCGTATGCTAGAGCCTTAGTTTTATAGAACAGACTGCATAAGTGGTCAACATCACGCGACGCGCGTTTAGATGCCATAACACAGACTGGTACCCATCTAAAGGCATTGCTGACATGGGATCAGTTCCATTCCCTACGATGTAGGCGTTTCCTCTGCGGAAGAAGGATTTCTGGTAACCACGTTCGGATAACGAATCTGGGGATTTGATGCTAAAGGCCTGCAAGATTTGGCAAACTGGCAAATCTCAGATGATCGACCATTTTGACAGGGTTTATCCATTTTGATGTCTTCTTCTTCTTCTGCTGCTGCTGCGCTGGAAATTGGGTAGTTGGTTCCTAGCTATTAAACGATCCTCAGGCATCTCCTAAACACCGACATCTGAGTTTGCGCACCGAACCAACGACCATCAGAGGGCAAGGCCAACGGCTTTACTAAATCGCCAGAGTCAGACTCATTTAGAGGTCTGCCTTTGCTTGACAATGTTAACAAATCACGGAAATACTGAAAGGCAAGCACTGATTAACCTCCTCAATGCTCCCTACTAAAACTTAGTGTGTCGTCTCCGCAATAAAAACTGACCAGAGAGTACCCACTATTCTCTTTGGCAAATTTCCGAGCCAAGGCCCCAATAACATTAGTGAAAAAATATACGGCAGCGACGAACGTGGTTTTATAGGCTAATTTATGAGAACGCCTGGACTATACAAAGTATAAACAAGCCTATTTGAAAAAAAAAAAAAAATAACTAACTCACGAAGAGAACGGATTGCCCACATCAGAAAGAGATAATCAACATTCTTTGAACATGTCATGAAACGCAGAAGACTGCAGTACATCGTGACAGTGGGAAATCTGGAGGGGGAAAGAGGTAGAGGGAGAACGAGAGAGAGAAAAATGTTACAGTCCGACATCATGGCATCGAGGATCATCTATGTCAGAGTTGACTGAAAGTACACGAGACAGAAGGTTGTCGAACAACATGATTACCAACAGGGTAAAAAGAAGAAAATAAGGCTACGGAACATAGACGGGGGAGGGGGGCGCGCGTGCGTATGTAGAGAGAAAGTTGGAGGCGAAAAAAAGGCAGAGGGAGATTGAGAGAGAAAAGATGCTGGATAGTCAGTCTGACATCATGGCAAAGAAATACAACTGCGACCTGGTAGAGACAGATTACCTACCCAGCGTTACATCGCATTGATACGATCAACGTGTGTGACCTTGAACTTCACAGGTTGCTGTTTCGAAAGTACCTTTTTCATAAATTCACACACAGGTGGGACACAACATACTTGGAAACATGCATACAGCAGGAAGAAAAGCGCGAAGTGTCAACAGTCTGAATAAGCTCCCCTGTACGCTCAAGTATTATGTATGAACAAATAACGACCAGCTTACTGAAGCGAATGACGTAACACGCATGCTCGCAAATATAAGAAGACTTGATAGGTTCTTTTAAAAAAAAAAAACGTTTTAATAAGTGCAGTAAGCAGAAAGATGGTTGGGTGTGTGAGGGTACAACAAATCGTGCAAGTAGACGGGTACAGACATAAAAGACAACAGAGGCAGACGAGGGCTGACAGATGTAGACAGCTAGGTACTTTTGCAGACACATAAGACACACAGACAGACAGCAGTGAAGCTTTTCTCGTGTTTCAAACTTACATTTATAAGATTCACACTTCACATGGGTGCTCGTGCAAGTTGTAAAGTAGGAAGAAAGACACAGCGAACAGGAAAACACAAGCTGCACACATCAACACAGCAATCACACTGCCGTAGCTGGCAACGACAGTGAAGAATACTAGCCATGCTCCAGTGATACACATCAATTCAGTTACAGAAAAGAAAGTCATAAACGTGCGGATACACACATGTGTAAACAAAAAATGCCCATGCAGCCTGAACGAACAATTTGTATAAGAGGGGTGGGGTTTGAGCAAATCAAACGCATTCCTCGCTGAAGCAAAACATCTAGTGGAAAAACATCCATGGCAGCATGCAGTAAATACTTTCTAACCTCATCTTGCTCCACTGGTTCTGGGCTGCGGCTTGGCGCCTGGCTCCGTTCCTCTCGGGGTCTCAGTGTGTCCACGTCCTCTGCGGTGTCGGTGTCCGGAGTTGGACTCGGCTGCCGCCTTTCGATGTCTTCCGGAATGTCTGGCCCGATACTCCTGCTCGGGGAGCGGCTCCTCTGCTCCCTGGGCTTCAGGCTATCAACGTGGTGCTCAGTCTCTATATCCTCCATGAGATCCGATTCCTCCCGATCCATACAGTAATGCTCTAGGTCTTTCTCTCGACGATCATGGTCCAAACTGTCCACCACAAGGCTGTCCTGGTCAGTGTCGGTTGTCAGAATACTTGGTGGTTCCACATCCTCTGTAAAATCCTCTCTAACAGCAGATACTTCATCTTCGTGTTCCTCTTCAACGTTCTCTTCGACATCTTCCTCTTCTACTTCAGCTTCTTCTTTGGCTTCCACTTCAGAGATATATTCCTTGCTGATCTCGCCCACCAGACTCTCCTCCTGTTGGCTGTCACCTTGATCAGGAGATTCAGTGACTTCAACCGCCGGGATGACCCTCGCAGATGCCACATCTTCCCTGCCAACTTCCTCGAATTTATCCTAGGGATAGTTTGACAACCACTTTAGAACACTGACTGAACACAAGCTACTGAAAGGAACATTGTTTTGTCATAATTTGGATATTCAAAATTTGTGTAAAGCTAAGAGTGAAACTGTTTAAACTGCATTAAAAAATACCTTGGGGTTCAACCAATCACATGATACTTCTTTTGCATCTGAGTCTTCATTGGTTTTTATTTTTAGGCTTACGGTATTTCCCGTCAAGTAATAAATTTTAGCTTTGACTTTTTGTCTTCAACAGTATATTACAATGTAGCAAAGTAAAACATAAAGAAGCCGTTTCCACAGCTTCACGGGTATAAGGCAAGACCTATATTGTTTAGACTAATCAGCACTTGGTGGGTGATGTGGTCAACGTCACTCAGGCCGCCTTTACTTCCCAGAACTGCACTTGGTACCAACTTCAGGCTAATTACAATGTAGGCCTTACTAATATTAAAATCTCTCTCTCTGTCTCTCCTAGCAAAGGTAAGTTACCAGTTACTACAACTACCTGAGCTATTTTGACATCAGCTACAGCAGTATGCTTCATAAGCAACCTTATATCTCTCCCCCATCACTTCTTTTTTTTTTTTAAACATCAAAGGACAAAAAAATATATAAAATAGATAGCCTGCTTTTAACATCAGCTAGAGACGGCTGACTTTATACGTGGCTCTACATTTCCCCTATGAAACGAAGAAACCAGGACAACGTGACAAACACACAACAAGTCTAATACTTTACCATTTAGCTACAGGTGAAGGAAACACACGTAACTTATAATCTCTAGCTCTGCTCAGTAACAAACACAAGACTGCAGGACTTCCACGTCAACAGCAGTCTAAACAAGCAACGAATTCCTCTATGCTAATTCAGCCGTGGGTAATATTACAAACAGAGGACGTCACTGCAACCTTAATCTTCTTCTGCATTAATTAAACCAAGCAACTGACAACCTTTCCCATTCGTTTGTCTGTAAGTTAATGTATATTTGTACACGTGAATAAACACAAGTTTGTGTGTACAGCAAAATAAAAGGACATACCCTGAAAACATTAATATAAGAATATTTGACCTGCTCTTATTTTCAGGGAAATCCGGTGATAGACGATTTCCGTCGATAGACGATTTCCGTCGGGATAAAAGATGTAACTGCATATCACCAATGGCTCCAAGAGCAGAGTTAGGCTGGCCTCGCTAAGTCCTTGGGCAGGGGCCGGATGAAATTTAAAAAGAACATATGCTGCTTAACTGGGTACAGTTATCGGCTTGACAAGACAACTGTGACAGAAACCCCCAAGTCCGAATCAGATAGTCTGGGCAACGGCTGGAGGAAGTGTAACTCTCTTTATCTTCACCTTCTGCTTTCGCCGGCACAATGTGTTGCGGTTTACAGCTAGGATGTGATATATGCACCCTATCGCCCAAAACGTCCGATTTCAGCAAATCCCTAATTAGTCACCTTTTACAAGATATCTCCCTGTGTAGGTTCCGGGGTCCCATTGTGGCGAAGACAAGAGTAGGCCCACTGCCTCCCTAACTAGTAAGCTGTAAGAGTCGACTAATTGGCGGTTTCCTTCGAAATCAGAATGCATATGCCTGCGAGACAAGAAACAAACAGTCTGCAAATAAAAAGGTCACATCTGTAAAACAGATGTGCACGCAAAAATCAGGTTCTGGAAAAGAACTAAAGTCATAGGTGGATGAACAACCAGAACTTTCTGCCGGAGTTTACAGCCGGTAAACGTGACGAGTTGAGTTGAGTCAAGAACCGACATCACAGCACTCGGAGCATTCCCATAAGCGCTTAGTCCCCATCTTTAGAAGCCAGTGAAGAGTTCCGATACTAATTGTGCCAGAAGTATTCTGATTAAACGTACGTCTTGCCTTTTCTCTGAGCCTCGAGCATCTCCTAGAACCTCTCGTCACTCCCGGCTGCATCAATCTTACCAGACTGTGGTGATCCAACTGCCCCTCTGAACTGTACACGTTCTACCAGAAGGCACTAACCACGTCTGCCTTATCATGCATGGGGGGAATGAGGTCACACAAGCTGCTCTTATTTAGCATCTTAGATATTTTACCGTCACAGTCTGAAACGACTAAGTCTAAGACAAAGAAACAGTAACCACACCACACCAAGACAACGACACTACTAACCTCTTCAGCAATCTCCTCTTGTTCTTGATACTCCTCAACATATTGCTGTTGTTCTTCTTCTGCCTCTAAATCCTCTGGCTGATCCAGCTGATCCTCCGCAGTCTCAGGCTCGTACTTCTGTTCCACAGCTTCCTCCCTGTGCACAACCTCGAAATCTCCTAGAAGGTCGGCATCACCGGAACTGGGCTGGCTCGTCTGCAGCAGATCCACATCCTCGTGTTGCTGCACATTGGCCCCAGACAAGAAATCTACTTCCTCTGCGGCTCTCTCTGTGGCCCCAACATTGTCCACGTCAAATAAATTATCTGCAGGTTCGGAGCCACTTGTGGCTTCGGCACCGAAATCATACACTGGGTTGGAAGACTGGGTGGAGTCGACATCATCGAGCAAGTTAACGGAGCCCGACCCCGGTTCGTTGGGTGAGTATGAAGATTGGTTTCTGGCACTCATGTCGTGAAAATAATCAGCAGAATCTAATGACTGGTTGGTTTCCAAATCAAGGTCTACACCATTACTTGCGTAACCGTTCTCGATCTGAAATGAACAAGTGACAAAATCTATAACTGTTTGTAATGTCTTCTGAGCAAAAGCTGGCTGTAGTTTACACAAGAGATATGAAACAGTAGCATCTGATGCATTGGCTGTATATGCTTAAAGAAAAAACAGATGATATACAGATCATTTCAAAAGCAAGCAAGGAAGGATGGATGGATGGATAGATAGAAGGATGGATGGATGGATGGATGGATGGATGGATGGATGGCTGGATGGATGGATGTATGTATGTATGTATGTATGTATGTATGTATGTATGTATGTATGTATGTATGTATGTATGTATGTATGTATGTATGTATGTATGTATGTATGTATGTATGTATGTATGTATGTATGTATGTATGTATGTATGTATGTATGTATGTATGTATGTATGTATGTATGTATGTATGTATGTATGTGTGCGCGCACATGTGTGTATAAGGTAACGGCAGTGGCTGCTAAAGGTAAACTTACAACTAATTACAATCAAGTGGTGTGGCTAATACTTACGGTGTGCGCTACTACGATACAAACAAACCTACAATCCTGGCACCAGAAATAATACCTGCAGCCACTGACAAGCAGGTCGCCAAGTGTTCTGGCGGTATACCCAGTGTACGAACAACGACTGCTGTCTGAACGGAAACATAAAATAAAATCTCTGTGGTACCCAGACACCCCGTGGCCTGCACAAGGGGTCAGGGGTCGTAGACCTGCTGAAAGTCTTACAAGGTGGAATGGATATCCGCCCTCTGTGTTTCCCTGGTCCACAACATAAGAAAAGAGTAGTGATTCGGTTATGTGAAATGCATGTCGTAAGAGCCAGTAAGGAAGGTTGGCCTGGGATTGGGTACCTCATTCTCTCGAAAAATTTACTTGTAAAATCTGGCTACAAGACAGTTTGGGGTTTGGTTGATGGCCCTTGTTTCATTGGGAGCAAGCAGGATAAGCAGAACAAAAGGGAGAGAGGAGAAGAAAGAAAGAAATAACGAAAGAGAAAGAAAGAAAGAAAAAAAAAGAAACAAAAAGGAGAAGGAAGACATGCAGATGGAGCAAGAGTGACATCAAATATTACAGTACACTCGAGGAAAAAGTTCTGGTTGTTCGACTCTATCTGGACACTGGCTGGTTTTGTTCCAGAACTAAGACTTTAGTCTGGACGTCCGTTTTACAAATCTGACAATCTGAATGCAGACTGCTGCTTTCTCCCTGCTGGGCAGTGAATCCCTCCCCCCCCCCCCCCCCCACGGAGTCCCGGAACCCACAAGGAAAGTATACGATTAAAAGCGTGGTCCTCCCTGTTGAGGCAAACAGGAATAACCAATTTAATGTAAACACTAAGGCAGAGACTTTCGTTAGTGTCAAGCTTTATTAAAGTGCACACGTAATTATAGGATGAAGTAGTACTGTCTCTCAGTCTTTTCTACGCAGGGGTATCTCAAAAATGGACTCGTCGGTTGTTGAAGATAGATCGACAGCCGCACTAGCCGTTGAGAGAAGAAGGGGAGAAAGCGACTTCTGTCACTCCTAAGGATTGAAACCGGGCCTTATCTTTGCTAACCAAGCAAATGTTCGCACAATAAAAATGCATCAAGTAATTGATACTCACAAAATACAAGGGTAAATTAGCTGCACACACACGGGATACAAACTTATAAAGTCCCAGTGACGCAGTCGCCCCTATCCAATTGTAATGACGGCTCGTCCCTAGACTAAACAAATACTCCGCAGGGCATAATGTCCCTTCCAGTTTTGTGGTTATGTCAGCAGGATAGCCTGCGCTGTTTACAACATCACAACATGTGACTCATACTGTCGAATCTCATGTTTCCCTGTTGACTGTTTACAGGCCCAGTGTCACTGCAGGCCACACAAACATACTCCTGCGCAATTATCATTCAGCTAACGAGCAAGAGATAGCAGACTCAATGTTCTTTTACAGCGCTTTACGGTCGTGCTATATCATCATACCTGCATTGATTGTTAGTCTACATGTTAATATGTTTCAATTTACATTGGCGCAGTTTAATTTTGAGGGCTGACAGCTGGTATCAAGTTATATCCACAACACACCAAGTCATTATCCTCCGCCTCAGAACAGGGCACACCCGATTACGTAGCCACTTGTACACAAAATTCAAGATAGGTTTATCAGCCATGTGCACCTGTGGAAAGGTGCCCCAGACAGCAGAGCATGTACTCCAGGCCTGCACCGAATTTGACACATTAAGGCAAACCTTTTGGCCAGAAAGAACAACAGTGGAACGTAAACTCTATGGACCACTGAATGAACTAACAACGACAGTGAAATTTACACAAGAGACAAAACTGCTGATATAGACAACTTATTTCAGGCGAACGAAAGAAGAAGAAGATACCCACACACGAAAAATGGCATTTTCCTACTGCTTATGTCATAAAGCGTCGCAGAAGCGAGTAAGATATAATCTCCTGTCGTGTGCTTGTTGAGTATCTTGTATTATTGTCAGATTTCGTTACTGTAGTCTCTCTTTACCTTCTCCCATCCATATCTTTCTTAGTCAACCTCTTGCCTTGTGGCCTGCTGTTCTCAAGTAGTAAGCTCTAGCTGGCTGAGTCTCTTCTAATCTGATGAGATAACAATACCATTTGATTCTTTGTCGTTAAATGAAATCATTAACCGGTACTGTTTTTTTTTTTTTTTTTTGTAGTTCTTCATCAGTAGCTCTGTCGGTTCTTTTTTTTTCCCCCGCCGTATTTCTTAAACATCTCATTTCAAATGTTGTATTTGTACGTTTATATTTGTCTAGGACTGTCCCCGTCTGTTAATGACAGCATACAAATGATACGAATAGCGCAATATCAGCTGTTTTGTGTGTGATCATTTTCATTTTACAAATAAACATGGACAAGATAGTGACAAGCGTGCCAGGGATTAAGGCTGGTATCCCACAAGGATAACTGAACCCTTCAACCCGTTATGTTATCGGTATCACTGTACGTACATTTGTGTAAAAACCCACCAGTTTTGCGATACTCACTACACAGTAACTACAAATGCCCTGGCCAAGATATCTCAATGAGAAATCTGAAATTGTACCAAGCAAACCTGTCCCTCAGTATACATCTATTCCAGTGACACAGGTGACATGTCATATACAATCAATGCTTTTATATCTCCATGACATAGGTCCTAAGTTCAAACATCGGCAGACAATTCCCCCCCCCCCCCCACTATAAATACACAGACAGGGAAATTGACATGCGGACAGACAGATGGACGGACGGACAAATAAACAGATAGACAGGCAGACACACACACACATATCTACACACATACATATATATATATATATTAGATAAGCAAAAAAGACAAAAAAGACGGAAACAAAGACATGTATAAAATCAAAATCACTTCTATTTTGTTTCCAATTAAGTTTAAAAAATAATAATACACATCACGTGACCGTACGTTAATTAACATATGCACACGTTATGTCAAGCAGTAACCACGCGCTGTTTTACTAATTAGGCACACAACTGTCAGCTCGTAAGGACATGCCATCAACAATGTTTCACGGTTGTAGAAAGAGTAAACCAACTCCCCCCCCCCCCCCCCCGGGTTTTCACCAAACCAGATTATATAACCTGGCTTTCAGGAGCAGTTTCAAACTTGCAGCCACTATCACAGGAACGAACCCATATGAGCGCAGTAAATATGCACTTTAAACTTTTCTCATTCGGTTTCTGTATTAAAGTTCGTTGCCAATCGCAGAAAAGTACAGCCAAAACACAAAGCGTACGTGCGTGTAGATGTGCAACATACCTGTGAACATAATAGGTAGCGATGACTACCGCCGAGTTACATGTAGAGATCTTGTTGAATGAATTGGGTACTGATTTGCATACACAGATCATGAAGGTATCGCGGTGTTACCGGTTAATTCTGCAGCGATTTTAATTGAAGAGAAAGTCTTTAGATTACCTAGGTCAGGACGTGATGTTGGGGCAACAATCGCTGCAAACATCCTCACATTGCAGACTTCGTTGAAAAGTAGCTCAAGTTAACCACCATGAGCTTTATATTTTTGTCTAATCCCCCCCCCCCCCCCCCCCGCCCTATGGCCAATACTGCTGCTTTGATGTATGGACTTAGTTATCCAAGGATCCACTAATCAGATGTCAATCCAACAAGGATATCTCCTTGATAAGCTCAAACTGTGTGTGAGAGGGAGAGAGGCGAGACAGAAAGACAGGGGAGAGTGGTGGCAAGAAAGGGAAGAGAAAAAGATTTGAAGCTGAGAGAGATGGAAGATCAAGAGATTGGGGGGGGGGGCGGAAAATAAAGGAGAGAGGGGAGGGGCGTGATAAAGTGCGTTACAGCTTACTAAAATCACAGTAATACATTATAATACCCCCCTATGATAATTCAATCTGTGTTGGTAGATGTGTGTGTGTGTGTGAGTGAATATGTGTGTGTGTGTGAGTAAGTGAGTTTGTGTGTGTGAGTGTGTGTGTGACAGAGGCACTGAGAGACAGTCAAACGGTCAGAGAGTAAGACAGACAGACAGACATGGTGATACCATGCTGAGTCCACCTAGCTGGACCTATAACAAGAAGGCTGACACTTTCAAACAATTCAAGACGTGCATCACCGGTGTGGGTTCCACGGTCCCAGTGGGGGAGGGAGAATGGACCCACTGTAACAAAGGCGACTGATGAAGGGTGTTTTCTTTAAAGTCAGAGAGCATTTGCCTGAAAAGGAAGGATCCAAAGGTCTGACCAAATTAAACTGTATTCGTAAAACGGACGTGCACGCAACTGTCAAGTCCTGGAGAACAAGTCTCAAGTTCAGAAGAGGAGAAACAACTAGAACTAAAGAATAAGAAGAAGAAGGAGGAGGAGAAGAAGGAGGAGTAGGGGAAGAGGAGAAGAAGAAGGAGGAGGAGTAGGAGGAGGAGAAGAAGAAGAAGGAAAAGGAGGAGAAGGAGGAGTAGGAGAAGAAGAAGAAGGAG